TTCAAAGCTGACGCTTCGTACAAAAAAATATCGCCCTGATGCAATTGCATTCTTGTCCATTCTGCAATCTGCTGCTTCATTCCGATTAAAAGTTAAGTCTTACTCTGATTCGATTATCTAATTCGGGTCTAACCCATTCCTCACTGCCAGAGCTAAGGAATTTTTCATGTCCCTATTAGAGACTTTAATTTCTTTCTTAATGCCTAAAGTCTATACTCTTTTCAGCAGGAAATTTAATACTTCGGTATTCTTGTTATGAAACATTCATCATCATAAAGCCGTAGATGTTTACACGTTCACCGGAATTTCTTCCGTACACAATTCAAGTAATAAATGTGAGAACGCTCACGTTCTTGCATGTAAGTTACACCTACCGCGATCTTCGGACCTTCAATAAATATAAATTACAAGCGGATAGCATGGGACGTAAATTTAGTGGCTCATAAATCAGGTCGGCTTATGTCTCGATACGATCAACGGTGCAAGCTCGACGTGCGATCTCTTCCTTTAGAAGAATCACCTTGTAGCTGATTTTTATGTTCACGATAACCGATTCACTCGCTTCGTTATAAAACGATAAGCTTCTTGACTTTGCAATTTTTTTAAACTCGAGTTAAACACTGACGATTCCTGGTTATTGTTCCTTAAATCCGTGATGCAAAAATCGGTAATTCGAAGAAACGGAGGTGGGAAAAAGCGAACCAGATAAAAATGTTTGCCAACGACGTGACGGTGGCTAGCCAAAGTTATCGCTGATTAAATTAACGATAAGGAAGCTCGGGGTTTTAATGGCTCGTTAAAGGAAATCGTGAGATGGGAACGGACATAACAGGGAATCGATGACTTCGACTAATCCACTTTTTCTTCGTCTCAGAATCTCGAAATCGATCGGAACGAGCGTCGCAGAAATCGGATCTCTAAATCAGCCACAATTAATGTTTAACGCGATCGGTAGGATGGTCGCGCCGATGGAGCAACGTCTTGAAAAAGACTTGAAACGTGTCGACAACCTGTCGATATCGAGACGTTACATTAAAATTCACCGGCATGCATCCGGATTAGCCGAGAGAATCTTGATGGTATAACTTGCAGCGGCTTTCAGAACCGCCATGAAATCACGTCACCAACGCGCAACCAATTTTTGCCGCTTTCCATGAATAATTCTTGCATGAATCTTTCGATCGTTGCTCCGAAACTGCATGAAAGTTAACGTGTCTCGAATCGAAAGTCTTTTGCACCCTGTCGAAGGGAATATTCAGATTTCTGGAATTTCCACCGAGATGTTCGAAGGCGATACGTGTTGCCTACTCGATCATCGCGCTGTTATTTTATGTACGAAAGGTTGTAATATTTCGCTCAGACTTTTTCACAAATTTTGTATGAAGGATTATGGTATTTCTGTGAAAATATTTTAGGTGACATGCTCTGATCCATCTTCGGATCGTTGTATTATCAGGTTCCTATCTTTCTGTTAGTAATACAAAAAGGAAAGATGTTTTTATCGATAATCAAAAAGAAGGGTAAAACGTGAAAAGCACTCGCGAAGAAACAGACAAACAGAATAAAAAGAGAGGAACGTTCGATCGGTTCTTATCAGGGACAGAAAGCGAAGTAACGGATTACTCGTTATCGTGACCAATATGTCAGAGACTCGGGCACGGATCGAGAGTTATATCGCGAAATAAAATGGCCCGTGGCGCGTGTCCATGGTCGAACGACTCTGCTTTGAAATATCGCGGCCGATCGAGAATGGACGCCGTATGTGCAGCCATTATTGGCACTTTCCTTCCAGCTGAATTATGTATTTTTCATACCGCATGTCCGGCAGACTCGGTCGCGAATGTCGAGTAACAAGCTTGCCTCGACGACGACGATGACGACGTAAACTCGATGCTCGTCCTGGAGGATAGAGAGGCGACATCGGCCGCATGATTCTCGCTAAATCGGAAAACGCCACGGTGAATTTTAATGCCGAAACGGGATATCGACATGCGTCGATACGTGCCGAGATCCGAAACGTTTATCGCCGCGATTATTATGGCTCTTCGCCTCTCGAAAAATTGTAATAACCTCTCGGTGTGCTTGATTCGGTTTCGTAATTAATTTCTCCTGTTACGTTCGCTTTCAAATTAAGTTAAAAGATGTTTCGTTTAAACACGAACGCTTATATTTACTTTGAAAGTAAAGAGAAATGTTGCTTGTTTGAATCAAAGGGTCAAAGAGAAAGGCGACCTCTTCAGGCAAATGAATGAAGGTTCAAAATAAAAACTTCGGTACTTTCAACGCAGTGTTTTGACTTCTCTTCAAGATGTTTTCAAGCGTTACTACTTTTTCTGTTTATTCATAAATAACCAATTGTACGGAAATATAAAAAGTAATTAAGCGAAGCTATTCCCAGCATAGAACTCGTAGTCTCAAACTTTCGACCGGGAGCGTATTTTCAGACACGAAGCTTACAGCAAAAAGTTTGCACGAAGAAAAATACAGCGTGGCGGGAGCAACGTGACGCAGATCGGCGATAAATCAGTCCAGATGGGAGGATGTGAATAAAAATCTTACGAAGAGGGAGGGTCTCTGTTTGCCGTGCCGCGTCGTTTCGACTGGCGTCCAATTTGAAATTTTTCATCGGCCGATAACCGATACGCGAACGGATCTGTAATTTCGTCCGCGGACCAAGAAGCTGAACGCCGCTCGGATGAATATAACGATTCGACGTTATTTACTCGATATATCCTCTCGGTGCATCCTCCACCCGATCTCCAGAGTTCTTGGATTATTTATAACTCCATTTGCCCCGTTCTGCCGAGATAAATAGTGGCGACTGTAATAAATTACCCTCGCAACATTTCAAAATTGCTGACACTTCATTCTCAACGGGAGATTTTCAAAGGGGACGCTCGTTCGTGATTTCAACGACTGTCCGGTCGTTTCTTTCAAAAACTCCACAAATTTATTAACCCTTTCACGGCCATTGGACTCTAAGAACTCGCTCTGTACTACACAAGATGCATTCACACTTTCAACTTTACCGTCAAGGGAAAGATACTGGTAGATAAAGGTGTCGTGTAACATTTTCAGAACGAGACAGACTTTAAACTCGTGCAAATATCAATGTCGATTGTTCATCGTTCTTTGTTGTATTTGATCAAACTTAACTCTTTGACGATTGAATTCAGAAGACAGCAACGAGCAGCCACAATTCTATGAATTCAGAAATGACACCACTTTGAAAATCAAAATATCAATGTGTATTGTTCATCATTCTTTGTTGTATTTGATCAAACCCGACTCTTTGATAATTAAATTCAGACGACAGCAACGAGCAGCCACAATTCTATGAATTCAGAAATGACACCACTTTGAAAATCAAAATATCAATGTGGATTGTTCATCATTCTTTGCTGTATTTGATCAAACCCGACTCTTTGACGATTGAATTCAGACGACAGCAACGAGCAGCCACAATTCTATGAATTCAGAAATGACACCACTTTGAAAATCAAAATATCAATGTGTATTGTTCATCATTCTTTGTTGTATTTGATCAAACCCGACTCTTTAACGATTGAATTCAGACGACATCAACGAGCAGCCACAATTCTATGAATTCAGAAATGACACCACTTTGAAAATCAGAATATCAATGTGGATTGTTCATCGTTCTTTGTTGTATTTGATCAAACGTGACTCTTTAACGATTGAATTTAGATGACAGCAACGAGCAGCCACAATTCTATGAATTCAGAAATGACACCACTTTGAAAATCAATATGGCCTTCGTATTTTGATCTCTGACTCGAAGTAACAAAAAAGTGATACTTTTAGTTAGTACATTCAGTATAAAATAGTTTCGAAACATTTTTCGTGGAAGAATTTCTGGTCGATAGATCGAGCAACATTTACTGAAAAACCAATGAGACTCCGGTAGCTTCGTCGAGCTTAGATCAGAGATAACGCGAAAGCAACACCCCTTGGGACCGTAGACGAAAAACTTCCGCTCGAAACTCTCTCGCTTGCATGAGTTTTCCGAGGCAACTTTCAGCCGGAACGTTTCTCGTAAGTCTGCGTGTATGTGTACTTTGTCGGTGCGCCAAGTATTTCGAAAATGTGCTCCCTTAAATGTTAATCTAAATTCTAAGCGCGACGAGACTTACCTGTTGTGCGAAAACTACGGGAAAAGTATTCGCGCGAAAAAAAAATTGTTAACGAATTTTTACCGAGCCGCGAATGAAATTACGTGCTTTTCCTAGGGGGAAAACGAACGATTCCAACGACCGGAAACGAAATTTTGTAGCGAGCGTGCAAACGTGCGAAATTTCAAACGACCATCGTTGCAACGAGATCCCATTTTGACGCTTAATTACCGCGACAATAAGCTTTGGAAATTATTAGGGGCACGACGCGTGATTAACGCAAGCAGATTCACGCGTAAGCGGATGACGAACTGTGATCTACAAAACCGTTATTCGTCGCATTTGAAATTCATCATTTCACGGTTTTCACTCGTTTTAAATAATTCTCTTAAATAAAACGATAGAAATAACTTCAGCTTTCACAATTATTTTTAACCGAAACCCGTTCAAATTCATTCAATGATAAGTTTAGACATCTAATTGTGTCTTCGATGTTATAATTTTGAGACTGTAACAGGAACCACGTGAATCTATTATTTCTCGATTAATTAGATAGCGTTATCGAAATTCAATCTTGAGTATTCGATTACACTGAAACTTCAAGATCAACCATTAGGACTATTTGCGAAAATGGTTGTATGTCCCCAGAAATTCCTCTGTATCCCATATATCAGAAGATATCGAAATGCGAGGGGATTTTACCGGTTGGAACCGGAAGTCTTTTCAGGCATCTATGCTTTACATATAACCGCAGCGAGACACGAGTAGACGCTTGGTATCTTTTTATCCTCGAATAGCGGGGCACTCAACAGGGTAAGTGCATAGAAGGCAAGCCGAAGTAACGAGGAAAATGCATTTCTGTTTCAGGGAGCGCGTACATCATAAGATGGAGTGCACCGCAGCTGATGGTGGTGGCGGTGCAGTATATCCTCACGGGGCCCTACATGCCCCCGTACATGCCCCAAACGGCGAATTAGGAAACGGGGCCAGGAAAACGTAGGCCATGTTCGTCCAGGACCTTCTGTTCTCTGGTACCTTTGTATTTCGATCGCTGTGGAGCCGCATTTTGAAAGTACGATGCACTATTGGTGCATTTGAACGTGATATTTTAATGACACGGGGAGTTTTGTTTGTTCGGGCTGTTGTATGGAAAGCTTATTAACGTTTTGACTGTCGGAGATCAATTCGTGAACGGTTCTGTTTTCTTTCTAAATAAATTGAATTTGTTATTTTTTGAAAACTGGGCGTTTATCACTTTCGTAATCCTGTATCGAATCGTGTAAGTTTGCAAGATTAAATTCCATGGAAATCTTATGGGACTTTCTTGGTAATCGACGAGATTTTGTCAGGTTTATTTTTCAATAATTTTGTGCAGTAGGTGATCTTGTAAAATGAGTAACGAGAAGAACAGACAGTTAAAGTGTTAATAACATCATTAATCCTGAAAGGAATTTCAACGAGCAATTTTCTGTGATACGCAGACAATTTCGAAAGCTCGCTAATTGGCTGTCGAAGAATTAAAGCCCGTGTACCTCGGCTCGATGTTCGCGCAAAGCTTACGTCGACGGTCCACGGGACGCATTAGTGGAAACGGACGAAATTATTTGTCAGCCGGACGTGTACCTTTAATTGGATTGTTAATCGTAATCGAACATTAATTAGGGTAATTGAATTTACGTATCGGACGCCACTGGATTACGGGCTTAATTAGCATCAGATATTTATTCTGAGGCGAATTATCTTGGTGAATTATTTGTGGGAAGTAATGATGTATGTCCCCGGAGCAATATTACTCTATGTCGATGCATCGCAAATGCGTGGATAATCGACATGATTAATAACAACCATTGAAATCTTTCGTTCAAAACAAATCTACGTTTTGATACACGGTTAACAATGTTGGCGTGCAGTCCACAATTTACTGCTCAAAATTCTACGCGGTAGAATACTTGACATTTAATTTTATTGGCGAACTATAATTTATGTGTTAGCAAATGGCGCGCAAATTTAGGTCAAACGTGTCAGAATTTTTATTGTAATTTGTCCTCGCTGCAGAAAGCAATTTGACTCCAACTGATTCCAAACTTTTTTATTCGAGAAATGTCATAAAAAAAATGTCATGATATTTCAGAATGTCCATTAAAATTTTATTTAGAAACCAAGCGATTTTCTGTGACGCTAGAAAATTATCAGAATTTTAATTACAATAGACGAAATATCTTCACGATCGAGATCAGACTGTTTCAACAAGGTGAGACAAGTCACGATATCGACCTTTGCAAAAACGTTCCTTGGTAAAAAGAGATACCCTGGTCAACACGTAGCGCGATAAATTCTGGAAACAATCAAACTAGCCAGGGAGCCCGTTGCCTTTTCTCCCGAGAGTCGCACATGATAAATCTGCCCGGAGAGAGTGCATGCTCGCAGCGAACAAAACGCGTTACACGATTCTTCTCGACGCGTTAACATCTTTATCTCGAGGCTCGCAGATATAGTGTTTCGCTTTACATCGATTACACTTCGTTTCGAAAGCGACGATAAATCTCGAGGATCTAGGAAACGAATCCGAGGAGAAACAACGAGAAGAAAAGGAGATCGAAAAAATAAGCCGAGACAGAAGGGTTGTAAGGGAGAATAAAAAGGATCGAGCAGCTTGCATAGATTCGTTTGAATGGAATCTGGAGGCAGCGACTTTTCAAGCGCAACCAGGAAGTGGCATTCAAGTAGACAACCCTCCAGGAAGAGAAGGGATTTGATTAATGCTTCGGCACGTGAAAAATGGCACGAGCACGCTCTCGCAAAATCACGTGGGTGTAGGGTGTCCCTGTTATTTTATAAACGAATAAGTAAATTCGTTCAATTTGTTATGGAACCTTTCGTTTTAATCGATGGACCATATATCGAGAGGAAAATTTTGTCTAACAGGGTAGAAAAGGCAGCGATCGTAGAATAACAGTAGCTGAGGGGATGAAAAATGAGAGAGAAAAAGCAACAAAGCGAACGAATTCGTCGAAATTCAAATCATTCGAGCGGAGAGATCGTTATTCCTTTTCCCCGATAAAATTGTTGTAATTTTAATCACCGAGTAACGTTTAATCATCGAGCTGGTTGAAATTAAATTACAGTTAAAACACGGCCGGTTATTAATATTTGCGTCTCGTTCCTCTCGGATTATGGAAACGTTAATTCAAATTTTCATTTGACACCGTTCCTCGACAGCTACGAATCGATGCTTTTCGATTAACGCACGACCATCATCCCCCGGTTTTTCACCAGGCCTGGAATTGGATTCTCCGTGTCGTTTGATGTCTTTGTGTGTCTTCTTCCCGGTAATTAGTTTGACCAACGCGACGAAAGGGTATTTTAATTTAGCATGAACGCAGCGTCGATGCCGCCTCTTTTGTTCGACGCGACATCATCGCCTACGCCCTACGCGATATCTCGTGGAACATGGTTACACGTCACCCGGCGATTACACGATCGGTAATGGAAAGTTTCGTAATTACAGGGAGGCCGATGATTAATACGTTCACGCTGGAAATCATAGTAATTTCAGTCTTTTGAACGCTGCTGTTGTCCGGTTTCATGGAATTTTCGGTTTATCCAACCTGCCCGCACGACCGTGTCTTTTATCGCGCTCGAATTAGGAACAGGCCGTTTCGTTTTAATTTCACGTATCGTGCCATGAATGTTCAACCGTATTTTAATAAATCGCTCACGCGAAATCGAACGGCCGACTTTCCCGTAGAACGCGACCGGAAATGTCCGCTATCTACACTCGGCCGAACGCGGAAAAAATGAATTCCAATCGATGTTTCGTGTTATTAATATCGACGTTGACCGAAATAACGAATTGGAGCAGGAAACGAGGAAGATGCCTCGGATTATTTCGGTAAACGACCGTGACTTCTCGACGCTCCGTAAATAGATTAAAAATCCGCAACAAACGCGTTATTGATTCGAGGGTGGAATTAGTGCGGTCGACGCATAATTCAGGCGAACGAGTCGGTAGAAACCATTTGTGTGTCTGGTCTGGATAACGTCCGTAGGTTGGTCACGCAAGCGGCTCAGGGAAGCCAGTATGAAAAGTTTCGATCGCTCGAAAAGGGCTTCGATAAAGTATCATTCGGTCGGAAAGTCTTGCAGCTGGAAAGTTGCAGGCTCGCTTCGAGATTGAAAAGTTCCCTTTTTATCAGCGAAACCGGCTACGCTGCTATCTTCACGGAATACCGGATCCTCGAATAAAGATACTTCGAAAACATCGATGCACCAGGAGAAAGAGGGAAGAATGGAAACGCGGAAGATGAGCATAAAATAAATTAAAATTCGACGAATTCGAGGGTGCCGTGAATTAAAAAGCGCGTTCTTAATTAAAACAGCCTGTCCTGGAAACTGGCATCTTGTAAATTTAGAATAATCTCATCTATAATTTCTTTGATTAAACTTTCCGTGTTCTATACGCTTATACGGATGTCTTAAATTATAAATGGCCCAAGTATCGTTGGAGCTAGATAAAAATACAATGAAACGATATGAATCTTGTCGTAACGTTTATAAATATTACAGTTTTAAAAGTTATCTATTTAAATGATACAGCATAAAGATTATTCTAAATAAATATAAAAACGAAGGATGGAATTAAATGTAAAAGCGGTCGAGATATTATCGATATAACCATCGTTCTTCCCGTCTGAAGTCAGAATTTCTTCATAGATTTTTAAAGAGGCAAAAAACGTAATTTATCGTTGAACGTTGAAAGCAAGGAAGATGAATAGAGAGTAAGATATAGTACACGGCCATTGAGAAGATCACTGATAAAGCTGCGACTGTCCGAGCAATCGAATAACAAGATTTCTATTTTAAAATTAGCATTTAAATGAAGCCCCGTGAAATTAGAGAGTCCGTTTTAGATTTATCTTTCGTGGACGAGCATCGTCTACGAGGCGCCACGCGGAATTTCCGCTTTAACGCAGCCGAATGATAAACTCATTCGAATTCGGCCCACGAAACAGAAGATACGGCTACATTATAATTCGCCACGCAAACCGGCCAACATAATTGCCCTAACTTTCCACGATTTAATCCAGAAACGTTCTCTATTTACATGCTTATTGAACCAATCTGTTTCGCGGACGCTGACGTGTCTTTCAATATCTCGATCGTTCGTCTCGAATCTTATTTAAACTCTGATTAAAACGTATTTGCATCATTGTGATAATACTAGCTTCATTCCAGGGCAGTCTGTTCGGCTCTTTTCTTTTGTGGACACACCAATATTTACACGATACGTAATTAATTTTATGCAACAGGTGGGAAGTACATAAAATTTAGTATGCGATTCGATGACAAATATTCCTCGATTGTTCTCTCTTCCATTCGTACATTCATCTCAATAATTAAGTAAATAAAAGTAGCAGCTTCGAGGATATTAGACAACGAGTCAGAAAAAATATATTAACGTTTAAGGAGATTACAGTTTTCTTCAGCTAATATCTTCTCTTCGGCTAACGCGAATCGCTTTTAAGTCCCGTAAAATTACGGTGACCGTCCCGTTTCAGACCTCCTTCTGTTCATCTCTGCACCGGAAGCAGTGTGGACCTAACGCGCGTACAGAGCGAAATATCTCGCGCCAATATAATTGTACGCGTTTCAGAGGTATCATTCCGTAATCTATGTAGTCCTGCTCGGATGGTGGATTATGTTAAGCGATGCGTGAGCGGCCACAGTCCACGGCAAGCCAGGCGTAACAGAGATACTGCTGGGTGACGTCGTTACACGCCGCAGCCGTATTCCTGCGTCCGCGGCCCTACACGAGACCCTCGATAGAATACATGTTTCCTATTTAGATGAACGCGTCCGCGTATGAGCGTGTATCGCCCGCCTGCTTATACCGTTCTGTCCTTTTATTCTGTTTTGCTTGGGCCGAAATTGCTGCCTCGCTATTAATGTCGGGCTTATGCTTCTGCATCACTCTTCTTGCGATAATTTCACTCGTGTTGCTTGTGAGTTTGGGGAGTTTAGTTTGGATGAAGTGTGATAGAGCTGACGAAGGTCTGACCTGAACTACTGAAGACTACTTTTAGTACTGCAGTAGTGTGAGATATGTTACTTGCACGGTGGTCTGATGTATGCTTGACCTTAACTACTGAATCAGTCTGATATGTTTAACCCCTTTCCGTACTTTGACGAGTCTGACTCGTGACGCACTTACAGCTCAAATGTGACAAACCTTAC